AAAATTAAAAAAAAAAGTTACCGATAGTGATGGGAGAAATTAGTACAAGATTCTGTTGATCTCTCTCAACAGCTTTTTCTCTGCTTTAGAAATGGCAATGGTGAATATTTATAAGAGCTAAAGTGCCATGAAGCTGCTCCAACTTTGATTATCTGTCCCTGTTTTTTTTTTTTTTTTTTTTTGGAGAGGTTTTTGCTAAAGGGCACGTGCCATGCTGCAATCCCTTCTCCTCCATTTTCCTCTCAGGATCTTGGGGCACGCACACACATGCACCCGGCATGAGTTTAAGCCACCGGGTCAAGGACTCGAACCACGGTCGACTACATGGGAGTCTAGCGACATAGCCATTACACCAACTGCTGGTCCCAGATTATCTGTCCCTGTTAAATGTAGCATTCAGAGGGACCAGCAGTTAGCGTAATGGCTATGTTGCTAGAGTCCCATGTAGTCAACAGCAGTTGAAGTCCCAGACCCAGTGACTTAAACTCATGCCAGGGCACGTGTGCGTGCGTGCCCAAGATTTCCGAGAGAACAATGGAGTAGAAGGGATTGCGGCATGGCCATCCCCCATGGGGGGGTGATTTCTCGCTTTCTGTCTCTCTCTTGTCTTTCTGGTGAGCGCATGCACCCTATAGCAAAAACCTCTCCAAAAAAAAAAAAAAGTGGCATTCAGAAATGAGAGAAGTGAATAAGGCTAATTCACCAAGTAACCAAAAATACACCTCACATAATCTGTTGGTAGCTATCTAACAATACAAAACATGTATGAAGTTCCAAATCAGGTTTTTTTTTTAAAAGAATTATTTTATTTAACTTTATTTATTTATTTATTTACATTTGACCGAAGAGAGACAGCGTGAGAGAGAGGGAGAAAGCGAGAAAGTAGACCACCAGGTCCAGGACTCGAACCACCATCAGCCATGTGGGAGTCCAGCACTCTTACCACATCACTTGCTGGCCCCCAAAATCACTTTTTTTCCAAAAAAAAAAAAAAAACAGTTAAGTCCAAAAAATGTCAAACTAAGGCCACATTTATTTACCCAAACGTCATCTCATTTTCAAAGGTTCAAATACAATGGAGCATATCTACAGCATTTACAACAGTAAGACAAGATGCCTTTAACCCTGGAATTTTGCCATTTTCTTTCTTCTTAATATATTTCTAATGTCTTCTTCTCTGTCTTTTTTTAATTGCCAAGGGGCATGTGTGCTCACAGAGACTAAAAGACAAGAAAGAGAGGGAGAAAGCACTCCACAAAGGCATGGTCATGCTGCAATCTCTTCTCCATTGCTCATCCTGCTGGGGGTTTGGGCATGCACACACATGCACTTGGCCTGCTTTTCAAGCCACCAGGGCTAGGACCCAAACTACAGTCGGCTCCATGGGATCTGACTCCCTTAACCACTTGGTTATGAGGTCAGCCCTCTAATGTCCTTTTCTTAATGTATAATCAAAAGATCTGTCTTACCACAGTCTTTGAGGTCCTCTGAACAGCCAGGATCTTATTTTCCAAGGAAAACTTAATGCACTTCACTTCTCCTTTGTCATCCATTCTTCAGGAAGAAAATGTAAAAAGTAAAACTAAGTAATTGATTACTAGCTACTATTTGGAAAACAAAAGACAAGATAAATGTTCAGCAAGTAGCAAATCCTACTTTAAAATGAAAATTGTATATCTAAAGCTATCACATGCAACTGGCAACATCCTGCTAGAGAAATTTCCAATTATAAATAACAAGTGATTAAAGAATTGCAATCATATGTACTTAGAGCCAGAAAATTATTTTAGACATATGTAAATAAATATATACCCACAAAATAACCTTCTTCACAAACTACCGCCTTCTCTCTCACAGGCGAGCTTCGGGAGAGAAAAGCATACTCCTGCAGCTCACATCCCGCTCACTCCACCACCTCTGAGAGGCAGCCGACAGCTCCACTACAGTGTCTCACAGCCACCTCCAGCAGCGTTACAAAGTGAATCCGAGGAATGGATTACAGAGGGGCTCAAGGAAACTTTCAGAGGTAAGCCATGTTCACTATCTTGACTGAGGTGATGGTTTCACAAGTGTATGCACACATCAAAACTCACTGTATGCTTTAGCATGTGCAGTTTATTGTGTGCCAATTATATCTCAATAAAGCTGGGTGTTTGGGCCCAGCTGTGGTAATGCACAGATAATACCCCTGCTTGGGAGAATGGAAGTTGTATGGGAAGCCTGGGTTCTGTTCCCGACCAATCTGAACCCCCAGGGCACTTGCTTGTGATCCTAGCTAACTGGGAGGCAGCGACAGGAGGAGCAGGACACAATACACTATCAAAATAATCATCTCTGTCTCTCTCCCTTTCCCTCCCGCCCCCACTCCTTCTTTCTCTTTCATCAAGAAAAATTAAAAAAAAAAAAAGCTGTTTTTTCTTAACGTAAACTTTAAAAAGTTAAATTCGGTTTCTTCTTCCTCAAACTCCTTAGTCTCCAAATTAGGATCATCCATCCCCTGCTCGCTCTCATTTTCTACACCTAATTGCCCACCGTGTCTCACCAGGGACCTCCCTAGGCACTCCTCGACTGCCCGTGTGACACCATCTGAACCACCAGCGCTCTGGTCTTTACACCACGTAGCTCAGATGACTGACACTGAATCTCATGGAATCCCTGATCCGAACACTTTCAGCCAACCCAGCCTCAATGCTTCCAACATCATGACCTTTCCAAATGCTGACGTAATCATGCCACATCCACCTTGTAAAGTTTCAGAAACAAGATAAAACCCTAAATCCAGAGCAGAACATGTGCCTGTGGCCACACCACCACCACTTCCCCTTGCCCACCTCGGCCTTCAGTTACATGACCCTGGTGTCCCCAAAACTGCAAATTGCCTTTGCCACTGCCGTCTTCTATCCAGAGGACCCTGTTCTCCACCAAGAAATCATCCCATTCAGACTTTAAAACCCTGCTCGAAGTTCGCCCCATCCCTGGGGCCTTCTCTCAACCTTCCTGGCCAGTGGTCTTCCCTAGCCTATCCCGTGGTCAATGTCACATCCCTTCTGTGTTCCCATATTCTGAACAGGGCTGGATTACAACACTTGTCACAGCCAACAGTATCTGTCCCTCGCTTGTCTCCCACACTAAATTTATGAGCACTCTATTCAAAGCCCTCACATCCAGTGCCTGGCACAGGGGTTTCAATCTGTGCTACCAAACAAATAACAATAAAAGAAAGAAATCGATCCATTTTCTACATGGAAAACCTTTTCCCATTAACACAGGCCAACTGTGAACCTTCTTTTTTTCAGTTACCACTAAGTTGAGGGCCTACACTGTCCTTTCCCCTATGGTATTCACAGGCGCTAAGGTGGCCAGAGAGTTTACCGTCCGAATAAACACGCTTCTGAAAGTGAAAGGGGTTGCTATTGATCCTTACACAGTTCGACTTGCGTAACCTGGGACATCCAGGCACCTTAAGGATAGCACCAGCCAGGATTGTATTACATTGTTACACGAGAAACAATAAATCTCAGCCATCTGAGATTGCCTTGCAATCATATGTACTTATAACCAGAGAACTTCACATTCTGAAAGACCTGGGCTAAATGAGGAAATGAAGGGTCTCCCTCCCCCGACAACAAATCAGAAATGGGCATCCTCAAGGCACCCACTTGCTGGTTTCAAGTACCAGGAAGTAGACACCCTACGTTAGGCGTATTTGAGTCCTGCATCAACTGCTCCACACACTTCACTCTGACCAAGGTACGGGAATGCACACCTAGACCCAGGGCAGGTTGTCTGCCCCCTCTCCCTACAGACAGGCATTCTATCCCAGCACACACACTTCAGACCTCTTACAAGAAGTGACATGATTATGAAACCATCTTCTGAATGATAAAAACATCGTTCTGTTTACACGTCAAAATTCTTCCCCAAATGTCCACAGCGTTACCTAAAGGAGATGGGATTCCTGTCATCTGGGCCTTTCACCACCACCCCTGTCGCTCCGCCAGATCGAACAGCAAAAACCTGGGACGGAAAGACGCAGCGTTAACTTTGAACTTTGAAAGGTTCTAGGCTCCCAGAGCAACTGATGGGAGATTCTCATTGCTATCCCCACCCTTACGTCAAGGAAACTAGCATGGCACATATCCAGGTACCGATGCTTGCCCCTTCACATGAATCACAAGAAACAGGAAGGCAGGGACCCAAACAAACTGCCACCACTCCCAGCGTTGTCCCTAATGCCAGTCTCCAGGTTCCTTTCAGGGTCAGTTGTGCACCAGCGCCGCTGATACAATTAAGCTCCGTCTTTTCTCCCTTTACAAGATTTGCAGAAAAATGAAAATCGCAACGTCTAAATCCTTGACTGCGAGCGTAACTAGGGACAAAAACAAAAGGCGTGTGGAAAGGATGGGCATGCTAACAGCTGATAACAGGAGACACAGGGAAACCGGGTCGGTGGCACTGACTCCAGGACTTGCGGGACACCTGGCCGTGGTGGAGACCGGTCCCTCGGCCCACCCAACAGGGAAGCAGCGAGCGCCAACTCCTGCCCCGGGACGGGAAGGGAGGCCCCCGGCCTGGTCTCGCCGGCACCCGGCCAGGCACGCCGACGACCCCGGGCGCCAGACCGGGCGAGGCGCGGCCCCGGGACTGGCTGGCCCCCGG